AAAATTTTTATTAATCCAGTTTTTTTCCTTGCATATAAAAAACAACTTATAACTCTTACCCATCTTCATGTTTTCCTTTTTTATACAACCTACAACTTTTTAAATATTCAGTTAACCGTTTTCTAGTATTTTAACTTGTTATTTATTCTAAAGTAACTCATAACTTAATAGTGGTTGCCTGCAATCTTGTTGGAAGTAAATTAGAGTTTAAAAGTATATAAATATATGCCAGTGTTTAATAAATAATAAATGTAAGCATAAAATTATAATATGTTTTTTTTAGGTCCAGCTATAAACCCCTGGTAAACCTTATAATTTTGCCAGAACCAGGTTTGCAAAAAGTTTCATTTTTAGAAGGGACAGGGCTGAAGCCCTAGTTACTTACTATATCTGTTAACAGTTTTCAAATTCCACTTTTTTGTACATATTTTTGTTACGCACTCTCATTATTGTGATGTTATTTTTTTTTTATTACACAGTTTCACACACAACATTTACAAAGCTGGTGGTTCTATAAAAAATAAAGAAAAGAATAAATTTTAAAGTTGCCAACGACTAAAAAGGTCTGAATTACTATTTTTAATTTTTTAAAAAATATGTCTAATATTGAGTTGTAAATTTGTTATCAGAAGATCAATTAAATTGTTTATATTTGGCATTGGGATCAAATTTCCGAAAATCTAAGAAGCAATTAAATTGATTCTGCAATGTGTATATATATATAATATATATATATATATATATATACATATATATATATATTATATATATATATATATATATATATATATATATATATACATATATATATTATATATATATATATATATATATATATATATATAATATATATATATATATACATATATATACATATATATATACATATTATATATATATATATATATATATATATATATATATATATATATATATATATATATATATATATATATATATATATATATATATATATATATATATATAAATATAAATTCATAGAAAATGACTTGACAAAATTTTTTTTGTATTCAACACTGGGTTTTATCAGAAATAATAATAATAATAATCAAATTATTAAAACTTTAATATATACCAAAAATTAAATTACAGGAAATCGCAAATGTCTTACCTACTGCAAATTTTCACACATTTGTGGAATATGTTGACACTATTATAAAAAGAACTATTTAGAATTAATTACTGCTGCTTTTTTAAAAAATAATTTTTAGAAGGGGCGGATTTAATGTAACAATTACTTGAGGTCACTTATTTTTATAGTTTTTAAGGAGAAACTTATTTTCGTGCCTGCCTTTAGAAATTAATTCCGATTTTTTTTAAAATAAAATTCTTGGTTGTGGTCACGTGTAATAATTTTAAATTTATCTTGTAGGCATAGTATGCAATTTAAGGAAATATTATTAAATGCAGGTGCTGTACCAATTCAGTATAAAATCATCAATATTTTTATGATTTTTTACTGAGTTCAGTATAAAATCATCGTATATATTTTGACAGCATGGTGTCTTTTGAATACTTTTCATTTTTAAATGATTGAAACGTTTTTTCCATTCACACCAATATATTGTTTATCATGAACATTCTTAGAGGAAAATATTTTGCCAATCATAAGCAATCACTTAAAAATAAAAAGTATTCAAAAGACAACTAAATATATATGGGAATTAAAAGATAAAAATATCAACGATTTTATACTGAAGTGATTATTGTCTAAATTGAAAACCCTTAAAGAACCTGTTTCTAATAGCAATTGCTATAAGGTGGCATGTTTTGTTTGTGAAAATTAGGTTTTTTATTACGTTATAGTTTTAATTTTTAGTTTGATAATTAGTTGTACTAGTTTTTAAAGACGAAATAAAAAAAGCAATGCTGTTTTCATGACCTGTTCTGAAAAAATTCTATGATGAGAGATCAGATCTGAGCTCAAATAATGAATTTTCTTCTGAATCTTTGTCTGAAGATGATTTGTTAAAAAATAATTTTAACAGAGCAGTACATAATGACAATAGTTTTCTGTGTAGTGATTCAAACAATGAAAACCAAGATTGGCTAAGTTTAAAATATTTAGATAAAAGACTCCCTAAATCGAGTAATAGTTTTGATGCTAAAAGTAGCTAAAATAATCAGTTCAATGTTGCAGATGCAAAAAATGAAAAAGATGGTTCTGGTTCTGATGAATTAAACTTTGACTTTGATGATGGTAAAGATAAATTTTATATGACTTCATCTGAAGAAGATAAGTTAAAAGATGAATTTCTGATATGGCTGCAAAGCATTAAGGGTGGTATCATACCACTTTGCACTGCCTTGAAACATATAATGTTGTTTTAGAAGCTGTATGCCATGCAGCAAATGACAATGTAAATTGCAAGCATCGTGGATGTGTTTTTTTGTTAAAGATGCAAAAAGATGAAAAACATCCAGGAACAAGAAAAACATATTTATTTTCTTTACAACTTGTGTTAAACTTTTTTATTTCTAAAGAAAAACTTGAAATTATTTCTAATGAAGTATATTTCAAGTTAAAAATCTCTATGAAGTGAAAGCATAGTTTGTGAAAAGATATTTAGGAAAGACAGCATGAAAAAGACATGTATGATTTCCACAACTTCCTGTCTTCTGAATAAATAAATACATTAAACAAATCTGACTACGTTAAAAGTGCAAAAGATGCTATTAAAGCTTCTAAGTTTTTTAATTTCATTATTACAAAGTCCAATTATTTTTGGTCAGGTCTTATTTGCTTGCATACACCTTTCATAATAATGTCACAAGACCAGAAGCTTCAGCCTATATGACTTTTGGTGAGTTTTGTCGAGCATTTTATAAAGAAAATTGTTTCACAGTCATTATTAAAAATTTAAAACATCGTATAAAAGCTAGTATTTTGAAAAAATCTTAATGGAATTTCTCATCCACAGGTAATGGAATTATGTTTTTAAGTTATAATGGACTCATTGATGATCACTACGCAGTTTCATTTATTTTGGAGTCGTGCTTTAGGCCAAAAAGTAAAAGAAGTTTTAACTAGAATGACACCAACATTAGTAAGGAAATTTACAACAAAAATTTATCAAAGTTTTTCCTGTTTAAAAGCAAAATGTTGCACATCATTTATGTCACAGTTTGAAGTGGCTTAGAGCTAATATGTCTTATTTGACCAATGTAACGCCGTATCAAGCACAATTAATCAACTGTGTTTAATTAAACGATAATTAACAGATCTGCAGAAAAAAACATGCATTTGTTTGAACCTGAAATAAACAAGGGGTCTATAAAAGTAGTTGATGTAAAAAAAAAAGTTGTCAAATTATTCAGAAATTGTGTATGTGATAAAAAGGTTAAAAAAGTAGTTGATAAAGTTTGATATGCAATCTAAACAGTTGTCTGGAACAGAACCTAATATTGACTATATTGATTTTGTAAGTGAAGTATCTTGTACATTAAGCTCTCCTATTTCACAAGAAATTCAAAAAAAAGAAGAAGGTTACATTACTAAAAGAAGTGACAATATTGAAAGTTTGATTGACGCTGCAAAGAAAGTTGATCTATTTAAATCTGAAGAGTTTAACCTAGATGACTATATTCCGTCATCTCCAGATAATGCATGATAACAGATCTTTGAAAAGAAGCCGAAAAGAATTTACTGTAGAAGATAGAAAGCCTATTTATTTGCATTTATCTAGCGTTACATATTCAAATGAACCAATAATGAAAAACAAATTTATATTATTGTTAAAAAAACTAGAACTAGCGGGTCTTGTAAAAAAGTTTGATTTGCTATCGATAAAAATGAGAAGAAACAACATAAACATTTTGTAAATTGTCTATTTACTATTTAGGTGTCTTTAAGTAAAAATGTGTTTACTAGATTTTTTTTAAGTATGAAAAATTTAATAGTTTTGATTTGTGAGGCAGAAGATGAAAGTAGTTTGTTCATTTCTGCATTTATTATGTTTGCAAATAACACGTTATATGTTTTTTTGTACGAAAATGAATAGTTATATACAAAAAACTTTTTTAAATTTAGGCAATTTCTTGACATAAGCCTCTTTTATCATTAAGGGACTATTATACTACATAGGAAAAAGCAGTATTTGTGAATCAGGTACTATATATGTGACTTTTTTAATTCAGGTACTATGCATGTAAGATTTTTCTTTTAAAATTCTGTTTTGATATTTTTTATAAACTTTTTAATTAGATAACATTTAATACAAAAGTCACATTCATATCTAAAAACAGGTAACGTGACACCAGGTTTTTAAACAGGTGAGTTTTATCGCATTTATTTCAATTTTATTTTATTAATGATTGTTTTATTTAACTAATTTTTGTTTCGCAAATACCTAATATTTACCATTCAAATTTAAATATTTTTTGTAAATAAAACATTAAATTATCGGATTTAGTTGATGAACCTATTGAACCTCGGATTTAGTTGATGAACCTATTGTCTACTGTTGAAACATGATTTGATTCAGTAAATTTTTATTATTTGAATTTTACTGTATTATTCATTAGTCAACAGTTAGCGAGAAACTGGAGTTCTACGTAATTGAGGTAAAATTAATTTTGTTCACTGGGTAACATTCCAAAACAGTTTTTGTGGTTTGTTGTTTTATAGCTATATTGTGCTACTATATTGTTTTAATGATAGATTAATTGATGAACATTCCAATCGTCACCGAAAATCGAATTTTCCTGTTTGTTGCAGGTAGGTTTATAAAATTTATGTTTATAAATTTTAGATAAGTAAAAAATAATTTTCTTATCTTGGTATTGCGATAATACTTTTTTTGCTATTCATTGAAATTAACTGTTTCTAGGCTTGTTTTCTTTTAATTAGGAGTATGATAGACTTAAAGAAGCAGTTCATATCTAAACGACACAAACTGTCAAAAGCAAAAGAAATAAAGAATAAAAGAGTTTTATAGCGACAGAACTTATTTTAATTAAATAAATGTTCAAAACATTAGTTTAGAAAATATATTTTTTATGCATAATGTTGTACAAAGTTGTTTTGAGTCAAAGTTGTTTTGAGACCTTATCGGTATTAAAGCAAATAACAATTTAAAAATGCCTTAAATCTGAAAGATCTAAAACAGAATAAATCGGACACAGTACGTCACAATAAATTACAAAATTAAGATAATTTATCTAATACTGTTATAGTATAATAATAATTGCTATATTTACCTTTCCTACGTTTAGCTGCACTAAGCAAAATAAATTACAAAGAAAAAATCATACTTTTTTAAATTCGTCCTTCATGCATATGTATCTGCATTAAAAATTAACCGAGTCGCTTGTTTCTAAATTTTTTTTTAATGAGGACGAGTGACTACTTGCCCAAGCTATAGCACACTTCATGAATAACGCAGTTACAAGTTGTTAATGCTTTTATATTTTATAAGGAACTAAAATAAATGATTTGAGACAACCGGAAACTTAAAGAAAAATCTTGAAGAAAATGGAGATTGAATTAACTACGAGGTAACTGACTCATTTGCGCTTGCTTCAAGCAAACATATTAGTAAAAATAACGTAGTAGGGCACTTTTTAAGGCGGTTTTTAAGTTGACAAATAAATAGGTACTTAAATTTACAAATCTGTGCACTTATGGGGCTTTATTGGCCAAAAAGACTTGTGATTAATCTCAACTTAAAAAAGACTTGTGATTAATCTCAACTTAAAATTTATTCCTATCAGAACTGAATAAGTCAAACATGCAGTTGAAAATGTAATGTAGTTATCACTAATAACTATATAATTAAAAAGCCATAAATTGAGATTGTTATATTGTGTTAAAAAAAGAAAAAAGCACCTTTACAACTCAAAACTAATTTCAGAGTTCTACTGCTTAAGAAAGGTTATGAATTACTTAAATAAAAAATTTTTCGAGAAAACTCAAACAAACAAAAAAACGATCCAATCATGTTCAACATACAGAACTGTCTCCATCCTACTCAATATCTAATTTTTTGAAGCAATACAAACCAATTCTGCTCTACGGCTGTAAAAGTTATATTCTCATGTAAATACTTTTAATCTTAAGCACATAGTAGCATTTTAAGATACAGCTACAATTAATCCTAATCTAATCCTGAGAATTAAAGTAATTGACCTAGTCAGCATTCAGTTAATATTTTATTAAGTAAAATACAATCGGTTTAAACTTCATATTCAGCAGCTGTGTTTTGTAAGACATTGCATTATAAGAGACTCAAACAATTTTATTACCCAATACATACTGTTGGACTGTAGAGAAAAACAAGTTGGAGCAAAGTTGTAAAGTAAACAAAAAATAATATATCTCCAATAAAATCTGCAAACTTATCAATAGTAAAGCGCCACAAAGAACAAACAAGATCCGGAATGTCGCAAAGCTCAGACATGCTTGATCTAGCACGGAAAACATTAAAAAAAATTTGCTTACTGCAAACCCACCCTGTTTGCAGCCGTTGATAAGGGTAATGATGATTGGCCATGGAGCATCAGCAATTTTAAATCATTTCGTTTATTGACTTATTTTAAAAAAACTAAATAGGGTCGAATAACTTAAAAGACACTTTTTATTAAAAATGATATTTATTTTTAACTATATATAATTGTTTGATGTTCACTTTCAACAATCACTTTACACTTAAAAATAAAAAATATTCAAGTTTTTTCATTTATAAGCTACACAAAAAATGTGCGCCTCCATGCTACCTAAACTCAGAAATCGAGGTAAATAGTTATGTTATGTATAATTCAATAATAAAAAAAAAAGTTTTTTAATTTATTTAGTAAAATAGTAGAACTTGAAAAACTTTATTAGAAAATTGAACTACTTGCGCATGTAAATGCGGAAAACAGAAAGGACATCAATTTCTCGGTTTGTTCATTCGCCACTAAAAAGTTTTCACAGCGCCAACCCGATTAAACACATTTCAGTAACATCACTCAAGTAAATACGCGGAAAAAAAAATTACGAGTAGTAGAAAAAATTTATGAGAGGAAAATATAAAAACTGGTGGAAATATGGTATTTTTAGGGGGAATTTACTAGATTTTCAGAAACAATTATTGTTTAATAGCGATATTAGTTCATGTCGAGGGGAATCATGTTTAGCCCTCATGCTACGCAAGTAGAAGAAACATGTGAGAAAAGTGTTATTTTTACAAGCGGTACAAATCTTCCAGGTAAAAAAAAATATTTAAAATAAAAATAATATTTATTTTATAGCATTTTTTGTTTAAAACATCGTTTTTACGCACCTCTTGCCTCTAATTCAAATTTCGCAACGCGAGGGCACATCGGCAACGGTTACAGTAGTAGTAGTAGTAGTAGTAGTAGTAGTAGTAGTAGTAAGTAGTAGTAGTAGTAGTAGTAGCAGTAGTAGTAGTAGTAGTTGTAGTAGTAGTAGCAGTAGTAATAGTAGTAATCCTGGTAGACCTTCTTGTTACGAATTGCATGCCCTAGCGCTACAAATTTTGCCCTCATGTTACGTTTTTGCCCTCACGTTACGCTGAGTGCCCTTATGTTACGAAGTTGCCCTCATGTTACGAAAAAAGCGTAGCATGAGGGCAATAATAGCCCTCATGCTACGCTAGTAGAGTAACATGAGGGCATTTAACCGAAAGTTACGTTTTGTTAAGTTAAATGTTTAAGCGAGAAAATTCAAAATGGCAGAGTTTGATATGTTAGCGAAGCGATTATTTAGATTAATTTAGTATAAAAATTAGATTGATGTTGTAGATAAATTGATGATATATTGATAAATAACTCTAAGACTTAATATATTAAATAACATTTAAAATAATAAGAACAAGGAATGATATTGAAATATACTGTTAAATTTAGATTGATAATAAAGTTAGATTGATGTAGTAATAACTTTATGGGTATTATTGAATAAATATTTATTGGCTAATAGTTTACTATTAGTTATACTAAAGATTAATTAAATAATAACTTTAAATATTCTATTCTTTAGTTCTTAGTAGAGTTTTTATCTTTATCACAGTTTTTGCCAGCTCTGACTCTGACACAGCTATCGCTTTGTTATCCCTTGCACAAGATTGTGATAAGAGTAAAATCTACTTTTTGATCAAATTTTGAAAATAATTGATCTTTAATTATGTTTTTAAATTAGTCCTTAAAAAGAATGTACTTTTCAATAAAAAGTTTCCAAAAAAGTATTTCTTCTTTCTATAAACTGTAACTGTGCTAATTGTTCTACTATATTCTTAACTGTACTATATTGTTCTATTATATTTAAACTTATTTAAACTATTTATATTCTATATAAAATACCAGTTTAATAACTGGTATTTTATATAGAAAAATGATTCATAATAAGAATAATTTTATATTTTTCTACTATATTTCACTTTATATATATTAGTGAAATATTACAAGTATATATTACAAGTATTACAGTATATATAATAAGTGGAAATGTTTTTTAATTGTTTATGGTAATCCATCATGGTGTTTTCAGAGGCTTTAAAAGGTTTAATGTTGTACTTCTACTAAAAAAATAGTTGTATTGGTAAAGTGACTGTTTTAGCATTGTAAAGTAAACCTGATATCATAAATTACTAAGCACAGTATTTAAATATAGTATTTTTAAAAAATTTGCTTTTGCACTCTTATTGGACTTTAAAACATATTGGAAGTTATAAATACAATTTGTTTTCACAAAAGAATAGGTAAAATGAAAGTTTTAGAAAGAATAGGAATAAAATCTTAACTTTATTGAGATGAATTAAAAGAAAAAAACCTTTTTTTAAATTGCAACATAAAATCTACTCAAAAAACTTTTTCTGCAAAAGAAAATCTAGTCCATTTTACTATGGATTATTTACTTAAAAATTATTACTAGTTTGATATTAATTTTTTGTGTATTAGTATTAACATTTACTTTTTAATAACAGTAAATGTTAAAGAGATTCTTGGAGATCTATTATTATGTATTATTTAAAGAGAAATTCTTTTTTTTTCTCCTTCTTTTACATGGTTTGTCTTCAAGATGAATAAAATTTGATATTTACTGTAGCGTATTAGCTCATTCAAATTTTTTTTATAAAATTATCTTAATATTCTTTTTAGTTTGAATAATTTATATAAAAGTTTTGCAAGGCTTATGCAAGTATAAAATGTACTGTCTATATTTATTTATTATAGTTTATTTGTTACTAATTCTTTATGTATAAGTTTTAATAACAGTATATAAAAGATGGAATATTTATTGCGATAAATATTCCATCCAATTGTGAAAGATTATAAGCTGTTAAAGTTTTTTTTTAAACAACTTTACTAACAGAGAGATATCGGGTCATTCCATGCCAAGTGGAGCAAATTTTTATGGGGTTCTTTATGGGACCATCTCAGATTTTATTGAAACCTTTTGATTTTGTACATATATATGAGAAAAGCATGTTTTGTTTTAGATCAATATCTAATATGGTTCTTGAGAAAATACTATTTAAAAAGTGAGCCATTTTGCATGAATTTTTGCACTACAAGAAAAAAGTTTTTTTTTCATCGTTTTTAACAGATAATAACTTTTGAACAAGTTGGTTTTATACTTCAACTAATTTATGATAGCAAGTATGCTATGGGATTTAAGTATTTTGTGATTTTAAAGAGATTAATCTTAAAAACTACTTCAAAAATTAATACAAATCAAATTACTTGTTGATCTACACGTGGTGAATAAGTATTAAAAAAAAAATCAGTTAATTAAAGATGTGCATTCAAAAGTTATAGGTCATCATCACAAATAGATCAAGATTTCTTAAAATTGATCCGCGATGCAAAACTCTTTTACCTTTTAGCATCTTTAAGATGTAAAGTTAATTAGCTTAATATATTTTTATACTAGTTAGTATTATATGATAAATTATTTATACTATAAGTAATTTATGATGCTATAAGTATAAATAATAGTTAATGATGCTAAAATTTTTGATATTATAAGTAAAAGTTT